GCTGCAGCCAGCAGATTGTTCCACAAGGGTGTTTCAGCATGCATAAATCAGTCAAAAGATACTATTTATGTATTGTATGGTTAATATTTGTCCAAGCTATGTACCAGTCACACCCTTGTAAAGCTAGACATGCTTCTTTAGAAGCAAATTCTAGGGATGGTATCAGAATTACTGAAGAGTAAATATGATTATAGAAACTCCTAAGGTCTATAATAATGTACACATAGTTATTTGAATGTTTCAGTTTAAGACTATTTAAAACATTTCTGTGTCTTCCGACAAACAGTAACAGTGCAGTCGTATTTGTGCTTACTCTAAATTAAGCCCCATTGAGTTCAGTAACAGGAGTAGAGTCAGGCTAAATACCAAAGGCATCAGATCCTGTCTGATCTTGGAAGCTAAGCAGAGTTAGCTCTGATTAGAACTTGGATGGGATAAACCAATTGGCTTTGGTATCCACTGCGTTTTGGTCCTGGGACTGTTTTGGATAACAATATCCATGGATGCACAAATCTTGTTATATACAGTGGCATAGTAAAATGTAATATTTTATATAAGACAGCTCAGATGAGTGCTGGAGAGACTCTGAATATCTGTGAAATGGCAGGAGGCTATTGCTGGGTATGGCCACATATCAGTGCAGTTCCTGTTACATTTTTTTCCTTGAATATTTTAATGGCACGTGTTGTCATGGCCGGAATCACTGGGTTGCTGTGAGTTTTCCGGGCTGTATGGCCATGTTCCATAAGCATTCTCTCCTGATGTTTCACCCACATCTATGGCAGGCATTTCAGAGGCAAAATGTCAGGAGAGAATGCTTCTTGAACATGGCCATATATCCTGGAAAACTCACAGCAACTCTAACTTCAGAGTACTGCTTCCCTATGAAATTCACAAATTGAGAGGCTACTTGCAAGTCCTGCCAAGTTACCTTCCACTTATCTAAGGTTCATCCAGACTTTAAGACTAACTGGTTTTTGGGTTGCTGTGAGTCTTCCGGGCTGTATGGCCATGTTCCAGAAGTGACGTGGTAAAATGTTTTAAATGTAGGACTGCAGTCCTGGTCCTGGAAATCCAGTTTGGCTGCCGGTCCACTTCCGAGCACAATTCAAAGTGCTGGTCTTGGCCTATAAAGCTCTATACAGTTCCAGCCCAGATTACTTGTCCGAACTTATCTCCCTCTACATCCTGCGTCAGATTTTAAAATCGTCCAAGGAGGCCCTGCTCTCGAAATGTGTTTGGTAGGGACGAGAGACAGGACCTTCTCGGTGGTAGCCCCCCATCTGTGGAATATGGCCCCCAGCGAAATTAGGTCAGTGCTATCCCTCCTTTCCTTTAGGAAGAAGCTCAAAACATTGTTTTGGGACCAGGCATTTAGGTAACAGGCTTGACAGCAATCACAATTTTTTAGAATGGACTATGGAATGGCTTTGGACTGGATTGTTGGTTGATGAATCGGACTCAGATATGGCAATATGGTTGATAATAATGTTCTAGGTGGGTTTTAACCTAATATATTTATCTACTCTGTTATGTCATGTTGTACTGTGTTTTTGTATGTGTGGTATCGAATTGCTGCCATTGTAAGCCGCCCTGAGTCCCCCCTCAGGGGTTGAGAAGGACGGAGTACAAATGTTTGAAATAAATAATAATAGTAAATAGATGTTGTTGTTGTTGATTTGTTCAGTTACTTTGACTCTTCGTGACCTCATGGATCAGCTCACGCCAGAGCACCCTCTTGGCCGTTGCCACCCCCAGCTCCTTCAAGGTCAAGCCAGTCCCTTCAAGATCCATCCATCTTGTTCTTGGTCTGCCACTCTTCCTTTTTCCTTCCATTTTCCCCAGCATCATTCTCGTCCCCAAGCTTTCCTGTCTTCTCATTATGTGGCCAAAGCACTTCAGCTTTGCCTGTAATATCCTTCCCTCCCCTGAGCAGTCATGCTTTACCTCCTGGAGTATGGACTGGTTTGATCTTCTCGTGGTTCAAGGCACTCTCAGAATTTTCCTCCAACACTACAGTTCAAAAGCATCTGTCTTCCTTTGCTCATGGTCCAGCTCTCACACCCATAGGATACTACAGGGAATATCCATGTCACAGAGGAAGACAAAGGCACCCCCTCTCTCAACAAATCCTGCCAAGCAACCTAGTGATAGGATCACCTCCCCTCACGAAGGGACTTGAGGGCCCCCAACAATAATAACATAAATTGACAGGCCACTTGTAGGCACACACATTTGTGCCGGGCAGGAACAGGGCTGCCTGCTAGATCAACATATTCCATGGTTAAAGTGAGCAGGCACTTTTTTGCTGCGCAGCTCATCGAGAGTGCATGGTAGCGGAGGAATGTGTCACAGTAATGCAGAGAGCTGTAATGATGTCAACTTGTTATTTACTTTCCAAATCTGAATGACTGAGCAAGGCGAAAGGAGAATCAATCAGCCACAATGTGACCCTGCAGGCGGAAAAAACACAGCACTCTCACCAGTAAGAGGTTGGGGGATGGAAAGCACATGTAACCAGGGCAATGTTGCATCATTTACTTGCATTGCTTTTTGTACTGCTCCCTTTTTTCCCCCTCTCCCTCTCGCGACTGAATGTTATAGCTCTGTATGAAAGCTGTACAAGCCTAGAGAAAAATAAGGAAAGGAAGGGCTAATTCGAGACAAAAGGACATCAACATCTGTTTCTAGGATTGAGTGGCAGCTCATATGTAATAAAAACCCTATTCTGCTGAATCACAATTATGGAGACCGTGTAAGTCCATATTTTAATGTGCTATGATTATTTCGGAGCAGCAATGTTTGTAAATCACAAATAAAGTACATGGGGGTATAAATATTATGGGCTGTGTAGCCTGCTTTTGATTGGTGAACTCCCAATTATATAATTATGGATTTAGAATGGTTTCGATTGATTTTAGGTTCATAGTTATATGTAGTAATTAGCTATTATGATTTCTTGTGTGTGGTGGAGGCTCCTTCTTTGGAGGCTTTTAAGCAGAGGCTGGATGGTCATCTGTCAGGGGTGCTTTGAATGTGATTTTCCTGCTTCTTGGCAGGGGGTTGGACTGGATGGCCCACGAGGTCTCTTCCAACTCAATGATTCTGATTCTTTGTGTACTGTATGTTGGCACTGAATTTTTGCCATTAGTATGTTGTAAACCTCCTTGAGTTCCCCCAGGGGTGGGAAAGGCGGTATATAAATGCAGGAAGTAAATAAATAAGTAATAGAAAAGCATGAACCATTTTCTGAGAAACAGGATCTGGTTAGATTGAGAAAAACAACACCAGTTTGGCTTAGGACTTTCTGAAAGAACTTTTTCGAAAGGGGGATTATTACAAAATAGTAACTGAGCATGGATATTGTGACATTGCCTGACTGCTTAGAGAGGGGTTTGGTGCAGGATATATCTTTGTGTGTGTGCATTATATCTATATGTATGTGTGCACATGGTATTTATCTGTATCTATGTGTGACATTGATTGCTGTGCATTTTGTAAAAATCTAATTTTTGTATTTCCTGGAATATGATTTTACCATCCCCACCCCCATTCCTTTCCTATCCTTTCCTATAGAGATTGCCTGTCTGTGGAAGTAATACTGATATTGAAAAATACATAAACAGTCCAGATATGGATGTGAGGTGTGCTTTTTTGAAATATGTATATTGACTGGATTGCTGTGGGTTTTCCGGGCTGTATGGCCATGTTCCAGAAGCATTCTCTCCTGACGTTTCACCCATATCTATGGCAGGCATCCTCAGAGGTTGTGAGATCTGTTCGAAACTAGGCAAGTGAGGTTTATATATCTGTGGAATGTCCAGTGTGGGTGAAAGAACTCTTGTCTGCTTGAGGCAGGCGTGAAGGTTGCGATTGCCCACCTTGATGAGCATTGAATAGCTTTGCAACTTCAAAGCCTGGCTGCTTCCTGTTTATAGATTCCACAGATATATAAATCTCACTTGGCTAGTGCAGATCCAAGGCCCGGCTTGATGAGCATTGAATAGCCTTGTAGCTTGGATGATGAGATTGGACAGTTTTTTAACTAGGAGACACAAATGATTTATGTCTTATTGATCTTGCTATGGTTTTATATTATATGTTAATGTTTTAAAATGTTTAAAATATTTTTATGTTGTTGGGCATTGAATTGTTGCCTCTGTAAACCACCTTGAGTCGCCTGCGGGCTGAGAAGGGCGGTATACAAATATAGTAAGTAAATAAATAGCTTCAAACCCGGCTGCTTCCTGTTTATAGATTCCACAGAGATATAAATCCCACTTGGCTAGTGCAGATCCAAGGCTCAGCTTGATGAGCATTGAATAGCCTTGCAGCTTCAAAGCCTGGCTGCTTCCTGTGTATAGATTCCACAAATATATAAATCCCATTTGGCTAGTGCAGATCCAAGGCTCGGCTGGATGAGCATTGAATAGCCTTGCAGCTTCAAAGCCTGGTTGCTTCCTGTTTATAGATTCCACAGATAGATCAATCCCACTTGGCTAGTGCAGTTCCAAGGTCTGGCTGCTTCCTGCCTGGGGGAAATCCTTTGTTGTAGATAGATTTTTGCTGACTCCACTGGGTGAGCCTTTGACAAGTGGGTTGGGGGAAGGAAGGAGGGAAGGAATAGGAAGGAAGGCAGAACAGTTTTGCTTGAGTGGCACCAAAGCAGGTCTCCATAATCCTTAAAAGTGACTAAGGAGTTACTTCAGGACACAGGGCTGGGGAAGAGAGGGAGAAGAAGGGCTGCTCTTGGCATTTTTGTTTAATGCAAAGCAAAGAAAGAGAGACCACACATCCACACAGACACCCCCCCCCTTGATTTCGGATCAATATGCTGATGTCCAGCCCCACGGGATGTCTCTAAGGATTCCTTCCTTGGATGGCTCTGGTGCCTGAGAGGAGATCTGCTACTTGCTTGCTTGCCGTCTCTGGGGGAAGCCTCTCCCTTGGCTGACTTGCACACACACACTCACACAGACACACACTTCCCAAACACACACACACACACACACAACTGCGAGGGAAGGAGTGAGCGTTGGAGGAGGCTGGAGCAGCACCTCCTGACCGCCATTTCGCCCCCAGAAAACTTTCCCCCCCGCGCTTCCCCACTCGGGGACTTCCTCTGAAGCTTTTGTGTGTCTCTGTGTGTGTGTGTAAGAAGAGGAGGAGGAGGAGGAGATTGCCAAGCCGCCTCCACGCTTTGGGGACCTCGCGAAAAAGGACGGCGAAGGAGAGTCGTCCCACCCGCCAAAGGGCGCCTGTCCCTGGGGGCGGCGCTGCTCCTGCTGCTTCATCACCACCACCAACATCCTCCTCCTCCTCGTTATTACAATTATTATTATTATTGGGGGGGGGCACCCGAGTTGAGGCGCCGCCTCCCAGAGGAGACTTTCGTGGAGGGAGGTGAGTGAGCCCGCGAGTGGGTGCGTGGGAGGGGAGGGTAAGATAATGTCTATATGTACCCTTCTGCTCCCCACCCCCGCCTTGGTTGCCTGGCTTTGCTTTGCTTTGCCGTTGGGGGTTGGGCGAGAGTCTCCTGCAGGGATCTCCCCCTCCCCCCCTTCTCCTCCTCCGCACAGCTTCCTCGTGTCCCCCGCGTGGCCTGGCCCTTCCCCCTCAGGTGTCGTGGACCTTCTCTTCCTGTTATGATAAAGGGCCTGGGCTCGGTTTTGGGGGATTCTCCACCCCGCACTCTCTACAAATTGTGTCACATATGATGGGGGGGGGGGGCTGTATGACGTCTCCGCGTGCACTAGGGGAACCCTGCTTCTCTGTCTGTCTGAGAGGAAAGTCTCGGGAAGCCGGCGGAGGGGGAAGGGAGGCCACGGGCCAGGAGGTGCTTTTCCTTGGGCCCCGGCCCTTGGGGCCTTTTCTGGGGCCTTTGGGGAGGGAAGAGGGCAGAGGAGGGCCACCCCATGCCATTGGCAGAGAGGCAGGGAGGGCCGAACTTGGAGGTGAAGCCCTTGGGTGCCTTCAGGCATGGGCAAACTTGGGCCCTCCAAGTGTTTTGGACTTTAACTCCCACAATTCCTAACAGCCTGCATGCTGTATGGAGGCACTCTATTCCAGGCATGGGTGGCTGCAGGAAGGCATCCTATACCAGGCATTGGCAAACTTGGGCCCTCCAGGTGTTTGGACTTCAACGCCCACAGTTCCTAACAGTCTGCATGCTGCATGGAGGCACTCTATTTCAAGCATGGGCAAAATTGGGTCCTCCAGATGTTTTGGACTTCAACTCCCTGTAGGCTGTTCGGAATTGTGGGAGTTGAAGTTCAAAACACCTAGGGGGCCCAAGTTTGCTCATGGCCACCCTGTATGCTCCCGCTGTGGACCCCATACACACGCAAACGCATATATATGCATGCACCCCTTATACAGGATGTCCCAAATGTCTCCATACATAACAAAAAATCGCAAACTCAAATTATATTTTTAAAATTGTAAATATTTTATAGTTTTATATGTTTATGTGTATATATTTATATATGTGTGTATACACACACACACACATATATATACACACACATATATATACACGCAGATTAAACCACTGAGCTGCTGAACGTGCTGACCGAAAGGTTGGCAGTTCAAATTCAGGGAGCAGGGTGTGCTCCCACTGTTAACCTCAGCTTCTGCCAATCTAGTAGTTCAAAAATATGCAAATATGAGTAGATCAATAGGTACCGCTCTGGTGGGAAGTAACAGCGCTCCATGCAGTCATGCCAGCTACACCTTGGAGGCAACTATGGACAACACTGGCTCTTCAGCACAGAAATGGAGATGAGCACTACCCCCCAGAGTCGGACTTGACTAGACTTAATGTCGGGAAAACCTTTATGTTTACAATGTTCCCTCACTACTTCACGGTTCGCTTTTTGCGGACCCACTGTTTTGTGTGTTTTTGCCTCCTGGCAATGATAGAAGGGGGTTTCACCCTCCCACTCAGGAGAGAGGCAGCCAATCATTAAAAAAAAGCTTTTTCGAGAATTTTCACTTTTTGCGGTTCTGGAACGTAACTCCCACGATAAGTGAGGGAACACTGTACCTTTTATGCACACACATTGTACTTTCAGATATCCAGTACAACAGCGGGTTAAACCACTGAGCTGCTGAACTTGCTCACCGAAAAGTTGCCGGTTCAAATCCGGGGAGTGGGTGAGCTCTTGTTGTTAGGCCCCAGCTTTTGCTAACCTAGCAGTTCAAAAACATGCACATGTGAGTAGATCAACAAGTACTGCTTCTGTGGGAAGGTAATGCAGTCATGCTAGCCAAATGACCTTGGAGGTGTCTGCAGGCAATGCCAGCTCTTCAGCTTAGAAATGGAGATGAGCACCACCTCCCAGAGTCAGACATGACTACACTTAATGTCAGAGAAAATCTTCTAGAGAGGAAAGAGCCCCCAAGTGTGTGGTGAAATGCCCCCAAACTTTCTGACAGGTGAAAACACACCTCTGCCCGCCCTTTTAGGGAATAATGAACAGGGTAGCTGCTGGGAATGGGCAGAATGGGATTTGGGGGAGGGATGCGTGTTGTTTTTAAAAGTAGTTTGGATTGTATTTTAAGATTCGTCTGGCATACAAGATGTAGTTGTTTTGGGTTTTTTTTAAATGGCATTCACATTTTATTGGTTTTGTGTGTTTTGAATTGTGTTGTGTCACATTTGCTGTTAGCTGGCCTTTGAGTCTCTCTATAAAGGAAATAAATGAACTTTCCTTGAGGTCTGCATGGTTGAGCCGGGAGGGAGCACTCTTGGAAGCCCTGACCCACAATTGTCAGTAAAGATGGGTTCATGTCTTTCCTTAGCCTTCCAGTGATCTATGATTGGCTCCTGGGGGTTGGGGTGGGGGTTGGGAGGTCCTGTATATTTATTTCAATGGGGAGGTGTTGTTGGAGAGAGGGGGCATGAGGGAAACTGTGTGGGGTTTGCATAATCCTCCTGGAGGGGAGGAGGGGAATCCCATTCACTCACAAGGCTTGAATCAGCATGCCTTCAGCAGCTCACTGACTAGAGGACGTTTCAAGAAAACTGAGTAGAGGGACCCCACAATATCTTGTGCAAAATGGAGTGCTAGACAACTATGGCCTTCTTGCAACTCATTGCGTGCTAAGTTTGCAAAGTCTCTGCAACACTTCCTAGGTCTTCAGTCTCAGAGTAGTACAGGTTTAGGATCCCTTATCGCAAAATGCTCCAGAATTGTTCCCATGGATGACTGAAATAGTAACCCCTTTTTCTTTCTGATGCTTCAGTGTACAAATGCACAAAATATTGTGTATAAAATTTCCTTCAGGCTATGCGTATAATGCAGGGGTCTTCAAACTTTTTAAACAGAGGGCCAGGTCACAGTCCCTCAAAGTGTTGGAGGGCCGGATTATAATTTTTTTAAAAAAATGAATAAATCCCTATGCACACTGCATATATCTTATATGTAGTGAAAAAATACTTAAAAACAATAAATAATTAAAATGAAGAACAAATTTAACAAATAAAACTTATTAGTATTTCAATGGGAAGTGTGGGCCTGCTTTTGGCTGATGAGATGGAATTGTTGTTGTTGTTGTTGTTGTTGTTGTTGTTGTTGTGTGCTTTCAAGTCATTTCAGACTTAGGTTAACCCTGAGCAAGGGCCGGGTAAATGACCTTGGAGGGCCGTATCCGGTCCCCGGGCCTTAGTTTGAGGATCCCTGGTATAATGTGAAATAAAAATGAAATTTTGTGCTTAAACTTGGGTCTCATCTCCCCAATTTCTCATTAGGTATGTGCAAATACAGCCTGACCCACATATCTGCGAGACTGGTATCTGCGGTTTTATTTATTCATGTCCTATATCCTTTCTAGGCATGCTCTAGATCCTCCCATTTCATTCTATGGTATTCTTGGGCTGGAAGGCCTTTGTTTCAAAATATTATTTATTTATTTATTTGGTGCATTTATTAACCGCCATTCTCAGCCCTCTCGGGCGACTCATGGCGGTGTACAGCATAAAAAGGCAATTTACAAAAAGACAGTTACAAACAACATATTAGCAATAACAGCAATACAACAATTAAAAGTTACCTGTGTTATCTGTGGTTTTGTGTGTTCACACAAAGTCTGGGAACATATTTGCTGTGGACTTAGGAGTTGTAATGTCTTCAAAATCCCATGCCAAAAATTCACACCAAAATAAAAATCCAGAACACTTTTGTTCCCAATCATTTTGGATTGGGAATACTTGACTTTGAACAGGGGCTTTGAAGCCCAAGGGAAAATAGGGAGGGTCTTTTTCTTATTCACAGAACCCCATGTTTTTAACTGTGTCTCCTTTCAACCTGTTGCGTGCAATTTCCTTCCTTCTCTGTTATCACTGACAAACTAGTTTTTCCAGCACAATTACCCTAACTCCCCTCCCCCTCAATGTTTATCCCACTCATGTTTTGTTTTTGTATAAGGTTTGTTTGCCTCATGTTTTGATTTTAATTGGGTGTGAGGGCAAATTATTGTTGCGGCTCAGTGCTCAGCACATGACCCTTTGGCCTGTTTAATTACCTACGGGATTCTCAAAGACAGAGACAGAAATGGCCAGCGTCCTCTCCCCCACTTTTTCATAGATCTCCTTGAACTTTTCAAGCAGCCTCAGGTAGCTAACATTCCCTTCTAAGAAGTGTAATGTATCTGCACATTTCTTTCAAAAATAATCTCAGAAGTATGTATGCCCGCATATAGATCTTTTTTGTGTTGAATTGTAAGATGAAAATTCCTTACACCTAAAATCCAGGCAGCAACACCAGTGATTACAACAACAATGTTATGAATTAATTTGGTGGCAACTTCAATAAGGACTATTACTGAGTAAAATAGTATTTGAACATTGTAGCTTCACAATTTACTTAATGTTACCTATGTACCAGGGGAAAAATAGAGATTATGTAATGTAAAAGGAGTACATTACATCCTGTGCCAGATTTAATGGCACATCTTCTTGCCTTGACCTATTTATTGGTTCACTGTAAACTTTAAAAGTCTCTTCAATACAGCAGAGACAAGGTTAATGCATTAAACCTTTCTTGCCACATGACTGCCCATGGTGGATTTACATCTCTCCTTTAGCTTAGACCTAAAGAGACTGTTTGCAGTTAATGGACTATCACATACTTCAAAATGGAATTGCGAGCAGTATTTTTTCTTCATTCTAAACATCAAAGAATCCCAAAACTCACTTGGCCAGGCCAGGAATATCAGACGTTGCTAACTTGGTGTGCTTGTTTGCTTTTTTCAAAACAGCTTGTGTGGTATAGGTTTGTTTACATGTTTGGTGAATCCCAGTGACTTTCTAGTCTCAGCATCTTTATTTTGGGTCACACTGCTAGAGTTTGGTGTGAATGGCTTGCTCAAACTCCACCCATCTAGGCAACTACTATAATACT